TTGTTTTTCTGAACAACATCAGCACAACCTTCAGATAGAAGTGAAGCATTCGAATTTCTCCACAACCAAAACAACCAGGTCAGAGAACGAAACACAACACCACAATCATCCATCTGAGCTACAAGTTTTCTCCACCATCTCAAGATCTCAGCTGTTTCGGTTTCAAATACAATGGGCTAGTATTATTAGCTTTGATGTTTCATTAGGGTGTTAATGAGTGAGGTGAGGTTAGTCATGTTATATACTTGATGCGGAAAGATAAATATTCAGGAAGAAAAAGTTCACTTGGTTTTATCGATTTCTTCGAAGGAAGCATCATCATGGTATAGACAGACAGACATATAACGCAGAATTTCGTACGTAAGTACATCAATTCAGGTTGCCATACATAACTCATTAGCACAGAGACGCAACTGCCAGTTCAAATCCAAGAGTGATAGTGATAGTAGAATTATTAGCAGAAATGGAGAAGATTAGGGAGCAAAGATATAGTTCGAAAAGTATAATTCAGTGAGATAAATTTAGAAGAGTGGATGCACCTGCGTCATTGCAACCGATTCTGAGCCATGTCATTCAAGGTCTCTAACCATTGGTTCATCATGGTATATTTAAATTTATTTCATTGGTTTCTACTTCTCGAATCCGATCTTCGGTCTTTGTTAATTGCTAGTACAGCTACAACCTATAGTACTATGAGATTTGAATTGACAGTCCCATTTATGTGTGTGTGTTAATGTGGTATGACAATTTGAACTGATGTACGTACGTATCAGGTTCTACGCTGCTGTTGACGTATGATGTATTAACTGCGTGGAAAAAAAGCAGCCCAAATAGTCGTTTACAATTATTTTTCGAAGCTCTTCGCTGTATTATTGGATTGCCGCTTATTGTTGTTCCAGGGATATCTGTCGGCAATTGATTACTTCACTGTCCGAAGTTAATAGATTTCGCATTTACTGTAATAGTGACATGTTTTTATACAAATCTTGTCTTTTTTATTTAAAACTTTTCATGTGTTCTTCAGTCATCGTGGAAATCTTATCAGCTTCCATATATTGATGTCTAACATCAGTCAGTCAGCTACAACGTAGATCAGTTCAAGTTGCGATACCACATTCAGACATGGAGATCAAATTGTAAATTCAAATCACATAGTAGTAGGGGTAGTAGAAGTTTTAGCCGTAATCAAAATGATTAGAGATTCAAGTATAATCCAGTGAAATAAATTTAAAAAGAGAAAGTTAGAGGTGATGACGAATTCAGAAGACTAGAATTTCAGTGAAGACAAAGAATGGATGCACCTGCCCGATTACCAACGATGCTGAACCATATAATTTGAAGTTTTTAACCATCGTTTACGGTCGTCTCGTGGAACCCAAGGAGGTAGTCTACATCTAATGGTTCAGTGCATATATCAGTGACTTCATGGATTTGTGCCACGTTTTGGTTTAGCTGCCCCCAGCTTTCTTCCACCCTATTCCTACATCGCAAAACATAGCTCGACGAGGCAGTCGGTGGTTAGCCATACGTAACAGATGTCCCAACCACCTCAACTGATGAAGTTTCACCACTTTATCTATTGATCTACCATGCTTACCTAGTACTCGTTTCCTAACGATAGCATTGCTAATTCGGTTGTCTTAGGATATCCGAGCAATACTTCGAAGACACCTATGATCGAATACAAGTAACATGGGATTATCTTCTATTCTTACTGGCCATATTTAACAGCCATAAAGCAAGACGGAGCGAACTACTGCACAGTGCACTCGTCTTTAGTCAGCAAACGGATATCTCGCCTACGCCATAAGTGACACAGGTCGGCAAAAGCCAATCGAGCCTTCTGATGGAGCAAACTGCCACCCAGTGAAATCTTCCTCTAGTTAGCAGTAATATTGATTAGTAGTAATCATGGACATAATATAACAGAAGAATAATAACAATTTACAATTCGTAATCTTCTTCTTTGTCCTGTCATTTTTATTTACTCTTGATGCTACCTCCTCGCGAAGTCTCTAATAGGCGATCGATCAGGATTCTTCAATCAATGTCGATCATGAAGTTATCATTATTTTCTTCTGATTCTTTGCTTTATGTTTGTACACTTGAATTAATCTCTCCTCTTTTAGCTGATTTCGATTTGACATCTTCACGTGAAGATGTTGATTCAACAAGTGCATGGAATCGTTGGCTTGTTGGTAAAATACCAAATGTCTTCTCTGATATGATTGAATGCATTGAAAAGGTAACTTTTTGTTATTATTATTATTATTATTATTATTATTATTATTGGGTACTTGACAATTTCTGGTTAAAGGAGTTGGTTTTCTACAGGATTGGGTCACTAACCCCACACCCAGCCGTCCTCCTTTATCCGGTTTTGGGAGCGCAGGTAGCCCCAGAGTGGGGCCACGCGTGGAGATATTGTCTCCTCATTTGCGGATAAATCTTTCACATTTTACTAAAGGTTTCCATGGAGGAGGTCACATTAAATTGAGACTTGAAGGCGTGGATCAGCAAGGCAAGGACCGTATTTCTACAATCGAAGAACATCTGGAACTCGGGATAACGATCATCAATCACCATAGTCAGAATTTTCAATACAAATGTCAAGACAGTTTTACTGTATGTGGTGTAGGCAGTAACTACCAAAGACAAATGGGTGAGGTCGCGCAAAATCCCTAGATCAATAAGAGTTAGACATTAACACTGTTGGATGCCGGCCCAGTGGTCCGATAGTTAGGCGTTCGCGCACAATACCGAAGGTCCCGGCTTCGAATCCTGCGGGGTGCAGGAATCATGGATGCGCACTGCTGACGAGTCCCATACCAGGAGGAAACGGCCGTCTAGTGCCTCCAGGTTTCTAATGGTGGTCTAACAATGATTGATTGATGATTTCAAATTTGTAAAAACACAAACCTCCAAAACTCTGCCTGAAAAGTACCTCTTTCCTTTTGACTTTAAAGATCCCAAATTGAGGTTTGGCTCTAAAGGTACTTGGATGCTTTCTGAAATATATGCTCTATCCACCAGCACTTTTTTCTTGATTTCCTCAGGTAGAAACTGGTTTTCTGTCTAATGCAATTAGTTGTTATAAGTGGCGTATATCCAACGAACTTGGAGTATCATGCTAAGAACAACTGTTGATAAGTACTTGTATCTTTTGAATGTTCCCGACCGTAGCTGCTACCTTGACGTGGTGGTCGGGCTTGCCTATCGTGATGACCCAACCGAGCTATATTGGCTGGAACATGTGTTCCTGTAAGTTCCATCATGCCAGGATGAGACTAAAAGCAGCTACTCAATGTCTGAGAGTGAAGTCGAACTGCTGACTGTAGAGGAGTGTGTGCCGTGATTAGTGGAGTTTTGCCATGTATGGTGTAGTCAGTAACTGCTGAGGACAATGTGTGAGCTTCCGCAAAATCCTACGATTGATCAGAGTTAGACATTAACACTGTTGGATGCTGGCTCAGCGGTCCAGACGTTAAGTGTTAAGTGCTTTCAGTCTTCCAATGAGGGTCCATCAATGGACGATATATGATTTCTGGTGAACCTAGAATGTTTCCGTTACTTTCAACTATTTTAGAAGTTACCCAGTAACCTATGGTTAAAGACCTCGAATGACATTTTCCCGACCATAGCTGCTACCTTCTCGTGGTGGTCGGGCTTGCCTGTCGTGATGACCGAACCCAGCTATATTAGCTGGAACATACGTTCCTGAAGGTTCTGCCATGCTAAGCAGGTCGATTGGAGAACGATCAGACTAAAGCAGCTACCCAAGGTCTTAGGGCGAAGTTGTATTGCTGACTGCAGAGGTGTGTGACAGCAGTAAGGTGTTTCCCTCGGACAACCAGCATCTGCAGCGATGCTGACTTCTCACAAGGAAGGAAGAGTTAGAGAAGGTCGACCCTAAAAATGTCACCTCACCCTACCTCACGGATTTCCGTCTCCGGCGGTAAGGGTGCCCACTAAGGGCCTTTAAGAGCAAAGCCAATCTTCAAAAAAGCTTTCATAAAAAGTCCGTGTGTGACCGGCCTCAAGCAGTTGTCCCTTGAACTCTGTGGTCACGCTCCTAGGCCGAGAAGTGATAACTGCCCTCATACCCGTAACAGCACACGAGACCAAATTGGTCGAAATCAAATCCTTCCTACACCCACACATACCTCTCTTATCAAATCCTTTTGAATGTTGGTTTTTGTAGCTGTCCAAATTTCCACTCCATCCAATGGTCGTCCTGTTCTAACATTTATATTAAAAAATTGTAACGTTGATGTTGATTTTTTACTCATATTCACTTTGTTTCTGTCCACTGATTATTTTTATAGTTACCAGAATCATGTTTCCCAATTACATCTCAATCTGATAACAATTTAGGATGTGCACGTATTGAATTGATTGGACGTATAATTTCTTGTTTACCGTATAATTTATCAATGTCATCATCATCATCATCTACATCTACATCATCTACGTCAACACCATCGACGATCATCGGTACAGCATCATCAACCACAACAGCAACAACAACTACAATGACACATGATAATGTATTCTATGGTTTACCAAGCCAATTACGTGCTAAATTATCAACTGTTGCTTGGTTACCAGGTATTCTTCGACATAAAACTGATTGTTTGTCTAATATGACCGATTCATATCAATTTGTGATTGCATCCAAGTTATTAGTTGTTCCGACGTTATTATCTTCAACATCATCAGTTGTAAGTGAGGAACAGCATAACAGCTCTTCAGATAAGATAAATTCTGTAAATAATTGTGTAAGTGTGAATTCAAATTACGCTTGTTTAAAAATTCTTAGATTCTGTTTTTAATCATTTGTATGCATCATTAATGTTCATGTATAGCTATTCTCTGCTTTTCCGATGGATTCTACCGTAGCTGTTACCTTAACATGGTGGTCGGACTTGCCTATCGTGATGACCCAACTGACCTATATTGGCTGGAACATATGTTCCTGTAGGTTCTACCATACCAAGCAGGTCGATTGGAGAAAGGCAAGACTAAAAGCAGCAACTTAAGTTCTGAGAAGTAAGTCGTACGGCTGACTGTAGTTTGGTATTACATCAGTAAGGTGTTTTCGTCAGATAACTCTCCTCTGTAGTGATGTTGCTTTCTCACAAGGAAGGAAGAAGGAGTTACAAAAGGTTGATCCTAAAAATCTCATACCTCACCTTACCTCACGGATTTCCGTTTCCAGCGGTAATGCCTTTTTAACAAGAGCGGAGCTAACAGATTTAAAACTTCCCATTAAACGCTTCGTGTGATCAGCCTGAAGCAGTTATCTCTTGGGCACTTTGGTCAGGCTCACACACTTTTCTAAGACCAACTCTAACCCAACTTTTTTTATCAGGTTGCTCAAACAGAAATATTTTTTCAAAGTCTAGGCAACGGGGTAGTGACATCCACCCTCATACCTGTAAGAACACACGAGACCGAATCGGTCATAATCAAATCCTCCTTACACCCCCCTAATATATCTGACTTCCAATGGATTGTGACTTTATCCTAATAATTGTCTATAAGTTACGTAATCAGCGTTTTACATTAAGTGATTACTGATATCAATTTTACAGTGTTAAAACTGTAATCTGGCACATGAATTTGACTTGTTGAATCTCTCATGCTTAACAGACAATCCTGGCATAATATTTCTGTTTTCTGTAAAGATATTTGCTCTGAGTAGAAATTTAGGTTTCAGAGTGTTGTATATCTTCTGTGGTTACATATCCTTCTTTCATTAAGCCGAAGACCTACTGTTTACTTCTATAAATATGATTATATAGTTGTAATTGGCTTTTGATTGCCCTAACATCCCTTGAATTCAGTTTGTATAGATGTAAGGGGTTGTTTCTTAGTAGATAAAATCATATCTACACTTTTTTCCTACATAAGTTGGATATGTCTGATATGTAGTTAAATCTGATTTTGTGACTGTCCTTAATAACCTTAAATTGAATCTACACGGCGAATTCAACTCCACAAAACAGTCGCAAAGTAAATAAAAGAACACTTTATTCCAAGGTTACTTCGTCTACAAAAAAAAACGAGAGTACTTGTAGAGTTACACACGACCTTGAACTTGTAAAAGTGTCGTGAACCATACTAAATAGGATAGCGATCTGGCAAAAAAATACTGAATAATAATCGCGACATTTTTGAATATTTCTATAAGGCTTCAAATTCACTGCTGCCGTTAAGATTAAACATTTCCGCACATTTCTGGACTAATTGAATTTTTTTACCAAAGTACATATTATGTACGAAGTTCTGCCTTGTAAATAACTGACTGACTGACTGACCGAAGTGAAGATTTTTGGAAAACTGTGCCCTAACATTGCCGCTGATAAACATTTCAGTGAATATTTCTGTCAATAATCATAATTTAACAATATATATTTATTCACCTTGAATAACAATCGTTCGATTCATTAATCCTTGTCTTGTGTGTAATATGCTTCTTCGTCAATTGATTTCTCTCTCTCTCCCCCTTGTAAAATACACTTATTATAGACTACACCATCTTCATCTCCGTCATCTCCATCATCCAATCAAAGCGATCAAATCTTATTACAACTGCTAATTGATTATTTACAAATCTATGAACCACATCCAGCATTGTTTATGTCATCAGCGTCGGCGTCGGCATCACCGTCGGCCTCGTCAACACATCACCAAGGTTTGCCGATTGAGTCGATGGTGGCTATGGAGGATGATAGTAATAATACTAATAATACAAGTGATGCTGATCATAATAGCATTATAGATACGTATCAATCTATTCAGCATAATTATTTATTAAATCAAATGAAGATGGATGCATTGTATTGGTTAGGTGCACAAACTATTTCAATTGAATCTTTGATTAATTTAGCAACAAATTTGAAACCTGGTAAATTAATTATAATTGAAAAATAATTTATACTTGGTTGTTTCTTAAATATTAATAATTATGATCATTATAACATATTTTTGAGTGTTATTATCTGCTGTGATAGAGAGTGAAGTAGTTGAGCGTGTCGACCGCTTCATTTATCTTGGGAGTCTCATCAGTGCTGATTGTCTGGTGACTGAGAAAATCTCAGCACGGATACAGAAGGCTCGATTAGTTTTTGTCTACCTGCGTCACTTATGGTGTAGGCGAGATATCCATTTGCTAACCAAATGACGAATGTACTGCGTAGCAGTTCGCTCTGTCCTACTATATGGATGCGAAACATGACCGGTAAGAGTACAGGACATCCGTAGGTTATTAGTCTTCAATCATAGGTGTATCCAAAACACTGTTCGTATATAGTAGGACAACGGAGTAAGCAATTCTGTCGTTAGGAACCGAGTTCTAGGTAAGGATGGCAGATCAATAGATGAAGTAGTGAAACTTCATCAGCTGAAGTGGTTGGGACATGTGTTACATATGCCTAACCACCGACTGCCTCTTCGAGCTTTGTTTTGTGGTGTAGTAGTAGGTTGGATGAAAGCTAGGGGCGGCCAAACCGAAACATGGCGCAAATCCATTAGGTCACTGCCAAGTGTATTGAGTTATGTTGGTAGATGTAGGCTACTTGGTTGGGGTCCTAGTATTTAGAGACCTTGAACGGCATGGCTCGAAATCGTTTGCAATGGAGCATGTGCATCCACTCTTTGTGTTCTCTCAAATTTTAACCTTCTGAATTCCTCATCACCTCTATGTTTCTTTTTCTGAAGTTATCTCACTGAATTATCCTTCTTGAATAATATCTTTGGTCCCTAATTATCTCCATTACCGGTAATTCTTCTACTATCTCTACCACTATGGGATTTGAATTGACAATTGCGTCTCTGTGCTAATGTTGTATGGCAGCATCAACTGAAGTACTAATGTACAAAGTTCTACGTTGTAACTCACGGACTGACAGACTCCACAAAGTGCTCTCAACTTGTATTATTATTTATTCGTTTACAAAAATCAAACTGTGTTTGTGCAGATTTCAAATGATGAATAGCCGCTATTCCTATTCATCTGTGAATACTTACAATCATCATCTTTATTCCTCTGTTGGCGTCCTCGTTTCATTATTTAAACTAATTGATATGTGAATTGTTCAGTAATTGCCAGTCAGTTCCACAAAGCTCTTCTGGTTTAGAGTTAGCTCTTCCTGTCGAAATGATGTCATATGACCATGCGTATATAGCAGCTCAGTCCTACTCACTACCTTCTTCTGACAGAAGTGTTGTTCATGAAATTAAGAGGACGCAAGTGGAATATCCGTTTGGGACTTAAACTAGATCTCACTAAAATCTATTTAAAATATAACCTTAACTAACTTTGAAGACCTAATGGTTTGATGAATGTCGATCGTCGCGTGATATCATGAATTGATTGAGATTAGATATTCATGCCGTGGGATATTTGTTCGGCGGTTAAACAGTTAAGCATTCGCATGTGACTCCGAAGTTCCTGAATTCGATATCCGCTTTTACTGTCATGATGTCGCGCTGATGATAAGTCCTATCCTAGGATGAAATGGCCCGACTGTAGCTGCTACCTTAACGTGGTGGTCGGAGTTGTCTATCGTGATGACCCAGCCGAGCTATATTGGCTGGAACATATGTTCCTGAATGTTCTACCATGCGAGGCTGGTCAGTGGAAGAACGATGAGATTAAAAGCAGCTACTCAATTTCGGGGGGAGAAGTCGTATTGCTGACTGCAGAGGGGTGTGACGGAAGTAAGTTATTTCCCTTGCACAACCAGCGTCTGCAGCGATGCTACCTTCTAACCAGGAAGAAGGGCGTTAGAGAAGGTCGACCCTAGAAATGTCACACCTCACACTACCTCATGAATTTCCGTCTCCTTGGGTAAGGGTGCCCACTAAGGGCTTTTAAGGGCGGAGCTAATACCCAAAAAACTTCTCATAAAAAGGCCGTGCGTGACGGCCTCAAGCAGGTGTCCCTTGGGCTCTGCGGTCACGCTCCCTGTTTTCTAAGACCAACGCCAATCTATATTCCTTTTCACGTCCCTCAAGAAACAACCTTCTACGGTGTGGGCAGCCGGGCAGTGACAACCGCCCTCATACCCGTAACAGGAAGGATGAAATGATCTTCTGATTCTTTCAGCAGGTTTCTATCGTTAGCCCATTATTGATAAATTTATAGTTTTTGAACATGATCACACTTGATCAATCGAATTTGATTAACACTAAAAGAGCTTGACAAACATTATGTTTTTATCAGTAATAGATTGATATGTTACAATAGTCTACAGTAATCTTTCGCATGATTTCTGTTCATAACAAGAGAATGGTAATATGAGTGATGTTCGAACCAATTTCAAAAAAATCCCACTAGATGCGTACAATCATTGCACATATGCAACAATTACAATTACAATCAAGTTTTGATGTAAAATTCCTAATTACATTCAATACATGTATAAAAACAACAATCAATGTACATGAAAGGGTTTTTAGAGATTGTTGAGTTACTTTATTAGAAATCATGAATTGATCAATGTTAAATTACCATTAGGAACCTGGAATCGCTGGACAGACGTTTCGTGCTGTGCGCAGTGCGCATCCACAATTTCCGCTACGCGTAGAATTCGAACCGAGAACCTTTGATCTTGTGCACGAACGCAACGGTATTCATATCAAACGTTGATCAATCCATTGTCCTGAGCCACTACTGATGAGTCCCGTGCCAGGACGAAATCACTGTCCAATGCGTCTAGGTTTCTAATAGCTGTCTAGATTTATATTTTCAACAAGTAACAATTAATGTATTGATTATTATAGTTATTATTATGATTATTTGCTTTCGTTTTCTCTTTTATTTCAGAGGATATCAATCGACCTGGTTTACTTTCTGTATTAATGTCTAGTTTTGATGCTTGTCTAACTGCATACAATACATCATCGCCATCATCGAACAGTAATTGGTCATCTCAGTCAACATCATCATCATCATCATTGAAACCATCATTGACGGTATATAGACGTCGTCTTTTAACTGCTTTACAACATTTACCAATTTTTCCATTAACCAATGGACAATGTATACGTTTAAATGAGAAACAAACACATTGTTGGTGTAATGATATTCCGCCGATGGTTTTATTACCGCCTAGTCCATCAGACATTACTCCAATGTTAATTGGAATCACATATGGTAAGTTGCAATTCCTTCTTGTAATGGTGGAGAAGATTTGTAGTTCATGTGGATGTTTGTGGTGGTGGTGGTGGTGTTTGGTTCTCTGAGCTGGATGTTTTGATTGTGGACCCAATCAGTAAGATCATAGGTGACATAGGATCAAGGAACAGATCAAAACAGGGGGATACAATCAAAACAAAGGTGCGAACAACGACAGGTTTAAGGTCAACAGCAACCAATCAAGATTGAGGTTAGCTGAACAAGCTACAGGTCAAACGTGGAGAAATTCGAATGCTTCACTTCTATCTGAAGTTTGTGCTGATGATGTCGTGTTCAGCAGAAGAACAATGAAAGCTCCACAACCAAAACATTATCCAACTTAGAGAACCAAACACCATCACCACCACAATTCCTTCTTGTTTTATGGTTTCTGTAAAGAATAATGTTTAAATTAGATTTCTGTATGTATTTCTTTTATACCTCAAACATCTGATCTGTACAGAGGATTCACCTAGAGAGGGGGGAGGTTAGAAATCTCTAAATTCCGATTCAGTGATGGTGTACATGGACACTAACATCTTGGGGAGAACAAAAATTGTATGAACATATCGTCGGTTGTGGGCTACCATAAAGCTATATTTCTCTGCGTCAATCCATTGACTTGTGAATTAGACCTGTCAAGGTCAAAGACTCGACTTAGTGACCCTCTAAGAAAACCGCTTGGTTAGGTTTGTGCACCCGGACATTATGACAGCCCGTTCACAAATCGAAATATTTAGGTTCAACGTTGTCCTAATATTTATGTGTCTAAATAAGGCAATAACAGCTTTTGAATTTCTCAAAAAATTATTTTGGACGGGAAATTATCTACTTCAAAAAACCCTAATTTTTGGAGTAGTATGTTTGTTCCCTACTATTCTCTATCACCATCGAAAGTGTTACTACGTGTAGTACTATGGGGTTCGAATGGACATTTTCGTCTTTTTGTACTTATAAGTTATGACAACTTAAATCAATACTAGGTTCTACGTTGCAACCTATTGATGAATCGGTCGTCTTCCTGTTCTTATGTACACTGTAACTATGGCTTC